AGGGGATGAGAGACGGGAAGTGAGTGAGTAGGACCGAGTAGGTTAACTTTTAGGGCGTGTTTGCTTGTAGTAGTGAACAGTAGATGTATTGCATACATATCTCAGCTTAGTCTGGTTGAGTAAAAAACAGTTTCAAATGTGTTATCTATAAGTTGTTTGGTTGCCTGCATCTAGGGTCTCTGCATTAGATAATATGGAAGTTCATTTTGTTTGCTTGCCTGCATTGGCCTAAGCGGTACATGAACATGGTGTTTGGTTGCACGCATGAGGTATGATTAAGAGCTAGCACTTGCACTTAGCACACAGGGTTAAGAGCTAATAGAGGGAGGGGAAGAAGAAATGTAGTGTGCGCCGGACAATGGCGACTGCGGTGGATAGTGGCCGCGGCGCCGTGTCCGACATGACAAGCATGGAGTCGTGGATGAGCGACCCCGTCGGCGGCACGGCGAGCGACGCCGCCGGCGAACTAGTTGCGGTGCTCGCGCAAAGACAGTCGACAGAGGAGGAGAATGCAGTGCTTGCGCCATGGCATCGTCAATGCAGTGGACGAGAGAGGAGGCCGAGATGATCGACGCCAGAAACGACTCAAGTGTAGTAGGGTGAGAGAGAGGAGGCCAAGATGATCGACCCCGTCAGTGGCGCGGTGAACTGAAGTGTGCACGGAGGCAGATGACACAAGAAAGCAGTGTGCGCGCCATTGCAGCGTCAGTGCAGTAGGAGGACGACAGAGAGTAGGCCGAGATGAGCGACACCGGAAACGACTCTGGTGTAGTAGAACGTGGGTAAGGAGATCAAGGGGAAGGGCGTCAGTGTCGAGAGGGACGAATATGAGGGCTTGAAGGAAATATGTCATAGAGACAATAATAAATTTGTTATTTGTTATTTTCTTATTCATGATAAAGGTTTATTATTCATGCTAGAATTGTATTGATCGGAAACTTAAATACATGTGTATATACATAAACATATATCGTGTCCTTAGTTTACCTCTACTAGACTAGCTCGTTGATCAAAGATGGTTAAGATTTCCTAACCATGGACATGTGTTGTCATTTGATAACGAGATCACATCATTAGAAGAATGACGTGATGGACAAGACCCATCCGTTAACTTAGCATTTGATCGCACAGTTTATTGCTACTGCTTTCATGTATGTCAAATACATATTCCTTTGACTATGAGATCATGCAACTCCCGAATACCAGAGGAATGCCTTGACTGTTATCAAACGTTACAACATAACTGGGTGATTATAAAGATGCTCTACAAGTATCTCCGAAGGTGTTTCTTTGGGTTGGCATGAATCGAGATTAGGATTTGTCACTCCGAGTATCGGAGAGGTATCTCTGGACCCTCTCGGTAATACACATCATAAGCTTGCAAGCAACCGAATAAGAAGTTAGTCACGAGGTGATGTATTAGGGAACGAGTAGAGACTTGCTGGTAACAAGATTGAACTAGGTATGAAGATACCGACGTTTGAATCTCGGGCAAGTAACATACCGATTGACAAAGGGAATTACGTATGTTGTCATAATCGTTCGACCGATTAAGATCTTCATAAAATATGTAGAAGCCAATATGAGCATCCAGGTTCCGCTATTGGTTACAGACCGAAGAGGTGTCTCGGTCATGTCTACATAGTTCTCGAACCCGTAGGGTCCGCACGCTTAACGTTCGATGTCGATTTAGTATTATATGAGTTATGTGATTTGGTGACCGAATATTGTTCGAAGTTCCGGATGAGATCACGGACATGACGAGAAGTCTCGAAATGGTCGAGAAGTAAAGATTAATATATAAGACGATGGTATTCAAACACCAGAAGTGTTCTGGAGGGTACCGGGTACTCATCCGGTCACCGGAAAGGAGTTTCGGACACCCCGGCAAAGATATGGGCCTTATGGGCCAAGTAAGGGAACACACCAGCCCTGATGCGCCCCTATATAGAGGCCGGCCCTATGA